GGTAAATGCTCTGTAAATGTTGTTACTTTTCTTCATACTTTTTTCACAATTCTTTATCTCTTTATTTTCTCAGAATCTCCCTTCTAACCTCAATCAATTTTTGCACTAAATACAAATATTTTCCAAGGTATACATCCATTTCTGAAAAGCATATATTGCAACGAAATATTAGGCCAAGGTAGCTCAGACTGATCCATTCTAATATCTATTTAAATGTTGTATTAATTCTGTACTATCGGGCAGTATTTTTTTCTTGAAAATCAACTTATTCCAAGATGCAAATCATACAAATTTGATGACTTTTCTTGGTCTCCTTTTTAAGAAAATAATAGAGTACTTTACACAAACCAGCAGTAACTCTTGAAATAATCAGGTTTGGAGAAAGCTTTGAGGGCAATTCAAGTCCATATGTGAACAGGTCAGTTCCGTTGAGGAATACATTAGAAATGAATTATGCAAAAATAAAATTAATATCCTAACCTCATATCTTCCAGCTGACTTTCTTGGAGGTTCTGGTCACATACAACTGGAACCTACTTTTGTTTTTGTCATCCTAATTATATTCCTCCAGCTGTTCCTGTAAGACAGGGCTCTTCGACCAGCTGTCTGCAGGCTAAGGGGGGAACACGGGAACTGAGTGTGAAGGGCAGAGAACTAGAGCAGGTGTGGTGCTCCCGCTCCTACTGTACCGTGGCTTTCATGTGGTTAGAGCAAAACCTAGGACCATACAAACAAGGGGGAGAAGCGCAGGAATTGGGGGGGAAAAAATCTAGTGGAAGCATCTCTTACACTCTACAGGGAGGACTAGAGCACAAACGTTTCTGTGCCCCATTCCTTCAGTCCATACGCTGGCAGAAGAGGGAAGGAACAGGGTTACAGGGTTGTGCATTCGCTCTTCCTCTTTCGCCCTCCTCATGTATTCCCTTGTGTTATTCCTTCCTCTGCTGGTGGTCCAAACTGGATAGCAAGTTGGTTTAAAGCTACATTTCAAAAATACACCAGCACCCCCTTCCTCCCCCGCTGAAGAAAATCCATCACCCTGTTTTAAGTTTTGTTGGGTGCTTAACGTTAGTGCTATCCTAATCAGAGTCTTCATGTATCTGATAAGCAGACAGATTGAAACGTGTCTATTGGAACTTGGGTTAGATCGTGATTAAAATGATCTTCTGAAACCTTGCATTCGGACTTAATGGATGTTTTTAGGCAAAGTAGTGCTAGATTTTATTGTATTCCTTTCCTAGTGTGCCTCAAGAATACACGAAAGGGTGTAGCATTTTGACAGACCTTTGCCTGTACTGTTCTGCTTGGTTTTTATTTTTTACTAGAATAAATTTTCAGTTGTTATTTATGTGTTTTGAAAGTTGTCAGTTCTTTTTCCAACAGGGAAACTTATTACAAACAATATAAGAAGCAGAGCTATTGTAGATTAAACTAGTAAATATATCTATATTTTAATACTGTATTTACTTGAAGCTTTTCACTTTAAAAAGGTAGGTATTACTCCCTGTAGTACAATTGTAGTTCTCTTTAGAGTTCTGATAATTCTTATAAAGCCAGAATACCTTTGAATTTGTATGTGAAAAATATTCAAGTAAGAAATCATGAAAAAATCCAGAACAGCAAGATTTTTTACAAAATTTTGTGCTCTCTATATGCAGTAAAACTAACTGATTTGTTGTTCATTACTTGAAATCTTATTGAGATGTGAGAAATGCACATAAAAAGCTTCCCAGACAATCAGGAACCATCCTGATGGAGTTGGTTAATATATCTTAATAGTTCTGAAACGCTTCTTGTAGAACATGACATTTCATAACCATTTGTTTGATAAAATGGGTAACTTAATTCTTTCTTTATAATGCTGTCTGTAGATAAATACTGTTCTTATTGACTGATACGTTAAAACAAATGAAAGAAATATAAGTCTTTAAAATGTGGTATGACTTCTGTTTTCCTTACAAATGCAGTAAGCTAGGGTGTAAGTAGTTTTGGTGTACTTTTCAAATAAATAATCTGTAATACATGTTGATTAAGATGTTTGAGTCTGCTTATGCCTGGCATTCAGAAACAGCAAATGTTTTGGATTCATCTAGATGAGTATGTATTTGCATGACTTAACGTTTATCAGATCAGTCTTGGTAAGCCACCCTCAATGATTACCTTCTATAAATATTACCAAAGTTCTTTTTTTCTTCTCCCAGGTGCTATTCAAGTATTGGGAAAGTTCAGGATGCCTTTATATCTTATAGGCAATCTATTGATAAATCAGAAGCAAGTGCAGATACATGGTGTTCTATAGGGTAAGAATGATACAGGGTAATACAATGATATAATTCAATGCTAATATATATAAATAAAGAACATCAGCTTTTTAACTCTTTTGTGCTCTCAAGGGGACAGTAAAGCTTTTTTATTTATACCTTCATGTTGTCAGACTTGTCTGATTTGAAGTTTAAATAATAAATTTATATTTGCTTTCTCAATTTTTTAAAATACTGAATATGCTACGTATATGAGCTTTGCATGTTAAGATTTTGTGTTGTTTATGCTTATTACTGTGCTTTATAGACGTGCAAATAAGGGTTTTGAGGGGGATGTGTGTATTTGACTTGTTTGTATTTTGACTTTGATATTAATTCTCAACTTCACTAATCTTTCTATTCAGTGTGCTGTATCAACAGCAAAATCAGCCTATGGATGCTTTACAGGCCTATATCTGTGCTGTACAATTGGACCATGGCCATGCTGCAGCCTGGATGGACCTAGGCACACTCTATGAGTCCTGCAACCAGCCTCAGGATGCCATTAAATGCTACTTAAATGCAACTAGGAGCAAAAATTGTAGTAATACCTCTGCACTTGCAGCACGGATAAAGTATTTACAGGTAAAACTAAAGTTTTAAGAAGCGGGAAATAGTCTTCCAAATACACAGCAGAGGGGAGGGGAGAAGTAACACACAAGCTTAACTTGCAATTGTTTGTGGTGTGTATAACCTGTTTTCATGTGTACTGTAAGCGTATCATAGCCTGTAATATTTTATTTCTTCATTTTTAAGTGAAACTTAATTCCTTATAAACCCTATTTTGCACATTTAATCAAAGCATACTGTTTTACATCACTTTGCTTTTTTCTTTGTATTGTCTACATTTTTAAGTTTTCATAACATAGAGAGAGAATACACACACGCTATCTTTCACTCTTGTTTGCAATTTCAGAAGAAAGGAATTATGAGACCTCTGAATCCAGAGCTCATCTTTGTTCTGATTCTCACAAAGGTTTATATTCTGGTTACCCTCTTTATACTTAGCACCTTTCTAAAACCCCAAATTTTAAATCTGTCCTCTCTTTAAGACATAATTAGCTACAGCATTTAGGAAGATTTCATGGACTTGCTCTTACTAAAGTAGGCTTGTGTTAAATTTGCTTTTTACATAATTTTTCCTAGGCTCAGTTGTGTAACCTTCCACAAGGTAGTCTACAGAATAAAACTAAATTACTTCCTAGTATTGAGGAGGCATGGAGCCTACCAATCCCCGCAGAGCTTACCTCCAGGCAGGGTGCCATGAACACAGCACAGCAGGTGAGAAGTTGGGTTATGTTCTGCAGGTGCCCAGCTTTAAGGGTTCTTTACAATCGGTAGTGGTCAAGCTTATTTTATTGAGCACAGGACTGGCTTTTATTAATAAAAAGCCTTTGATTTATTTGCAAAGGGATACTAGATCAAGAAGCTCCCTATAATATGGGAGAAATATGGGGGTACCAATTTAGAACCTTTGTGGATTTTCATGATTTTAAAAGATTTCATCTTAAATAGAAATGCTGCAGTGGTTTAATAATCCCGTGAAAGGTACACATTCCTCCATTGATGACCATATGGAAACTGATTTTTCAGTTATTGAGATCATCTTCAGAATATCTACTCGGCCCTTTTAATATATGTGGGCTGTTAAAATATATAATTTAAAGGAAAGAAGTAAGAATATATAGAACCATATTTTTGTCTTCCTTCTGTGATTCTTAGGCTTGTAAACCTCATCATCCAAATACTGAACCTGTACTAGGCCTCACTCAAACACCAATTTCACAGCAATCCTTGCCACTACACATGATTCCTTCTAGCCAAGTAGATGACCTGACCAGTCCTGCCAAGAGGAAAAGAACATCTAGTCCAACAAAGGTATATATTCTGATGAACTAAAGAGCCCCCTACCAAAATTATGTGGAAATATGCATTAAAGTGATGCAGCATGCACAGAATTTGTGCTGTAAATTTTAATCCTTTGGCATCAAGGTGGGGAATGTTTTTAGGAATTTTAAAAAAGATTTTTCAGTGATGTGTTTAATCAGGTTACAGTTCTGACAGGAAGCGCATAAGGGCAATGCAGATCGGTGGCACTATACTGCAATCATAGTTGTATAAGTGAAAAAGTACAATCGTAGTCTGATGATAGATAGAGAGGGAGACGATCATGTCATCCTGTCTATTGCCTTTGCTTATATTTAGAATTCAAGTGTTTCATCATCATGTAATAGTGTTACAGTAGATAAAGTATTCAGTTTTAAAAGTAGTGTATGTTTAAGTTAATTGCGTAATTTGATTTGATTGTTTCTCATTATGATATTAGATATCATTTAACTTTGACTACTCTGATGCTGTATGGGAATGGTAGAATGAGACTTGGCATGTTTTAGTATGTTCTTTGTTTATATTGTAATTCTTGAAACAATGACTAGTTCTTTCATAAATAAGGTAAAATCTAGATAGTAAAAGAAATTATGTTGACCCTTTGATAGTCACGCACTTTAATGTAATGTTTTCTCTCAGAATACTTCAGATGTTTGGAGCAGTGGCCATACAGTGTCACATCCTCCTGTACAGCAACAAATTCATTCTTGGTGCTTGACACCACAGAAATTACAGGTAGGTATGTTGAAGATCTTTAGAAGCTTTGATACGTCTTTCTCTCTCTCTCTTTGAATATTTTTCAGTTTCATGTTTCTGAAATTCAATGTGAAATACTTCCCAAATAATTCCCACAGTGTAATTCAAGTTGTGCTAATATTTATGGCTTCTCTCTGTGTGATTAGTTCTATAGTAAAATAAATGATCTCCAGCAGAAAGTGAACACTTACATTGTATGAATTCTATAATTTATAAAGTAAGAACATACAGTAATTCTTTTTTCTTAGGATGTTTTAAAGATAGATACGCAAATTGCCACACTTGTGTGCCAAGTGAGTTTTGCTACTTGCTGTAATGTGGGGGATATTGAAGGAGGTGTAGAAGTATTGTAATATCCTTTTTTTCCTCTGAGGTAGCTTCTTGTATCGAATTGCGTAAAGAAACATGCACATTCTACAAAATGCAATTACTCAAATAAAATCTGCTATTGCTTTTCTATATTTTATGTCGTCTAATATATTTATATGAAATCCTCGATTTTATTTTTGAAATCTTGATTCAGGTCTTTTTTGTTGTTACGTTTTGTTGTCTCTTCAGTTCATTAGGGCT